TGGGTGTGTCTGTGCGGGTATTTCAGAGATTGGCCTGAGGATTGGTGGACTAAGTGGGTATGATCTGTCCTCAATGTGGTGGGGTCACCTAACCAGATCAAGGGAGCCACATAGAACAAAAGGAGATAAGAAAAGGTTGCCCTCTCTTTCTCCTAAAGACTGGCATACTCTCCTCCTCCTGTGCATGCTCCTCTTGCCTTAGGATTCTAGAATTTACACAGCAGCCCCCAGGGTTCTCAGGCCTTTGGCTTTGGGCCGAGAACACACCACAGGCTTACCTAGCTCTAAGACTTTTGGAATTAGACCAAGGCCATGCTACAAGCCAGTCTCTAGCCTGTTGTGGAACTTCTCATCCTTCATAATCACATGAGTCAATTCCCTATTAAACCCCTTATCATCTGTCTGTCTATCTATCTACCCATCTATCTATCCATCCATCTATCTATCTCCTATTGATTTGGTCTCTCTGGAGAACCCTAATATAGTAAGTTATACATACTATTTTTAGTTGATTAAAGAAAGACACCCACATCGATTCATTCCTAGAAAGTTTTAAGTATAGATTAAAAAAATTCTAAGACCATGTAGACAGAAAAATCAGATAACTTTCAAAAAATAAAAAAATGTGGGCAGCGCAGTGGCTCACACCTGTAATTCCAGCACTTTGGGAGGCCAGGCGGACGGATCACGAGGTCTAGAGATGGAGACCATCTGGCTAACATGGTGAAAACCCATCACTACTAAAAATACAAAATTAGCCGGGCGAGGTGGCGGGCGCCTGTAGTCCCAGCTACTCGGAGACTTGAGGCAGAATCGCTTGCTTTAACCTGGGAGGCGGAGGTTGCAGTGAGCTGAGATCGCACCACTGCACTCCAGCCTGAGACGACAGAGCGAGACTCATCTCAAAAAAAAAAAAATTATTTCTCCTCAGAAATACTAGATAAGAGATGATAATGGTAACATGTACAGTTGTTTAAAGAGGAAAAAGTGATTCAGAATGTTATACTTCAATTAGTAAGTTGTTACAAATAAAAATATAAAAAAGAATGCTATACCTAGCCAAGGATTGTTCATAAGTGAGTACATCAAAAAGCCAATCTGAATATGGGAGGGCTCAGAAAATGTACCATTCATCCCAGTCTTACTCAAAAAAATTGAAGCTATTTCCGCCAACTTAAGAGCTCAAGAATGAAGAAAGTCTAAATACTTATGAAATCATTTTAAACTGAATGAAAATATAACACAATAATAGTAATTCCTAGAAAAGACATAATACAAAAAGTTACAGAGAAAATGTGAGTCCCAAATCCCAAGTTTTATTAAGTAACAGTGGAGAATATGGAGTGCAAAGGATAATGGAGTAATGCCCATCAATTCCTTATTTGATATGAAGTCAGAATATTGGTTAACTAAACTGTCAAACATCCACTTATAGGATACCCATAGCCATAAAAATCATGAGAAAGGCGGGTGCAATGGCTCCTTGCCCACAGTCTTAGCCCTTTGGGAGGCCAAGGCAGACAGATTGCCTGAGCTCAGGAGTTCGAGACCAGCCTGGGCAACACAGTGAAACCCTGTGTCTACTAAAATACAAAACATTAGCTGGGCACGGTGGCATGCACCTGTAGTCCCAGCTACTCGGGAGGCTGAGGCAGGAGAATTGCTTGAACCCGGAAGGCAGAGGTTGCAGTGAGCCGAGATCACGCCACTGCACTCCAGCAAGGCTGACAGAGTGAAACTCCATCTCAAAAAATAAAAAACGATAGTAAAAACAAATAATGAGGATGCTCTTTATGTTCTGTTACAAAGTATCTATAAAATAAATTTATTCTAAAAGGGAAAGCACAATGCAAAAATGTGTCTAGCATGCTACAATTTGTACAACAAAGGAATAAACATTATTCAAGAAATTGGCAGGCGCGGTGGCTCACGCCTGTAATCCCAGCACTTTGGGAGGCCGAGGCGGGCGGATCACAAGGTCAGGAGATCGAGACCACGGGGTGAAACCCATCTCTACTAAAAATACAAAAATTAGCCGGGCGCAGTGGCGGGCGCCTGTAGTCCCAGCTACTCAGGAGGCTGAGGCAGGAGAATGTCGTGAACCGGGAGGCGAGGCTTTGCAGTGCAGTGAGCAGAGCGCCACTGCACTCCAGCCTGGGCGACAGAGGAGACTCACGTCTCCAAAAAAAAAAAAAAAAAAAAAAAAGAAATTAGTAACCGTGGTTGCTTAGGAAATGTTACTGGGTGTCTGGGAAATGAAATTAAGAGAAAAGCACTTCATTGCAAATGTCTTGTCCTTTGTTCTTCTGTAAATGAACCACGTAAATGTTACTTATTTTTAAAAATTAACATTTTAATTTTTTTTTTTTTTTTTTTTGAGATGAGTCTCGCTCTGTCACCCAGGCTGGAGTGCAGGCCTCAATCTCGGTTCACTGCAGGCTCGAGGTTCACGCCATTCTCCTGCCTCAGCCTCCTGAGTAGCTGGACTACAGGTCTCACGCCACGCGCCCAGCTAATTTGTGTGTGTGTGTGTTTGTTTTTTGGGGTTTTTTGTATTTTAGTACAGATGGGGTTTCACTGTGTTAGCGGGATGGTCTCAATCTCCTGGCCTCATGATCCACCCGCGCAGCCTCCCAAAGTACTTTTTTTGGGATTACAGGTGTGAGCCACCATGACAGCTAAATGTGTTGTTTTTAAGAATCAAGTAAGGCTGGGCGCGGTGGCTCACACCTGTAATCCCAGCACTTTGGGAGGCCGAGGCAGGCGGATCACAACATCAAGAGATGGAGACCATCCTGGCTAACATGGTGAAACCCCATCTCTGCTAAAAATACAAAAACTAGCCAGGCGTGGTGGTGGGTGCACCATGCAAATCCCAGCTACTCTCGGGAGGCTGAGGCAGGAGAATCGCTTGAACCCGGGAGCGGAGGTTGCCGTAGGCCGAGATGGCGCCACTGCACTCCAGCCTGGCAACAGAGGCGGAACTCCGTCTCAAAAAAAAAAAAAAAAAAAAAAGTAAATATTCATCAGTGACTTCAGCACATATGTAAATCTAGCTTATGATAAAAGAACATTACAAATTTAAAAATTCAATAAATGATCCTGAAGCAACTGGTTTTCTATTTGGACAAAAAGACAGTGTTTAGTCCTCATTTCACAACCCCACAGTGATAATAAATTACAGACTGATTAAAGAGTTATAAAATTAACTATAAAAATATTAGAACAAAATGAATCTTAGAGCAATCTAATACATTTAACTTCATAAAAACAGACACATCATATAAAATTAAAAGATATACCAAAAGCTGGGAACAATGCTTTTCACAAATATAAGAAATTAATATTTTTTAAAGAGCCAATAAAATTGAAAAAATGAACAAACTTGACAAAAACCTAAGTCTTCAGTATAAAAATGGGCAAAGGAAATAAACAGAAAATGAAAATGGCTAAGAAACCGCATGTAGCGACATGTGAACTCACTAATCATCAAAGTAATCCAAATTAAAGACGGACTTCTGCTGCCTATCAGACAAGCCAAATTCCAGGTGACCAGGACACTCATAACCACAGGTGAATGTATAAATTGGCACAGACTTCCTGGAAAGCATTATGGGATATGTGCCAACAGCCTTAAACATGTTCCAACTTCTGACTCAAGTAATTCTAATTTTTGTGTAGAATGTCTCCCCTGGAATTTAATGCAACTTTATAATAGGAAAAGAAACTGAAATAATCAAAATATTTAATAGAGAAATGTTAAATTCACCAGTATATTCATATAAAAATATTGTGCCAATGTTAAAATCCTTATTAAAATATTTAATGACCTGAAAAATGTTCAAGATACACTATAAGTGAAAAAGCAAGAATAAATACCATCATAACTGCTATCACAATTTGGGGATGATACCTGTACAAATCATACAGATTTTAAATACTGAAAGGAAATGTAACAAAATCTTAACAATAATTTTCTATATAATTATTTAAATTTATTATTTTTAGTTTTCTATATAAAGTTTCTATAATTAATATGTGGGAGGAGATGCCATATTTTAAATAAAGAAATAATATAACTATAAAAATGTTTCACAATGACCGAGCACAGTGGCTCACACCTTTGGGAGGCTGAGGCAGGCAGATCGCTTGAACCTAGGCATTCAAGACCAGCCTGGGCAACATGGCAAAATCTCATGTCTACAAAAAAAGTGCAAAAATTAGCTGGGTGTGGTGGCATGCACGTGTAGTTCCAGCTACTTGGGAGGATGAGGTGGGAGGATCAATTGAGGCTGGCAGGTCAAGGCTGCGGTGAGCCATGATCAAGCCACTGCACTCCAGCCCGGGCAACAGAGCGAGACCCTGTCTCTCAAATAAACAAATACATTTTTTCCTGGCATCGACATGCTCAGGATCTCCACTGAAAAAATTAAATGCTGCAATAAGAAGCAATTCATCAACAACACCTTGGTGATGCATTAGTATGCCTTCCATCTTTCTTATCCACCTTTGGTTCAGAACTTCATACAGTCACATAGGCAAACCATGTAGAGCAGCCTTGAGATACTTCACTAGGACAACTCCAGCGAGCAGCCAACTTAAGAGCACTACCTCTTAACATAATGAATAGCCATGTGCAGACACCATAACAAACTACAGACAACTCAACTGTAATGGTGTTTCCCGATACCTGCCTGTTCAGAAAGTCTTCCAATCAAGACCACCGACTTACGACCCACACACCGCACCAGGTGAAAGCACTGCTGAAATAATCTATGGAAAGCGACAACTCGAGTCTAGACGCCCGAATCCCATGCCCAGCCTCCCTAGGAAGTGTCCCTCCCCATCCCCTGCTTGTTTTCTCTGGCAGGATGGTTTATTATGTTCATTTCAACCCAACTAATAAAGGAGCTCTTTAAAGTTCAGAAAAATACTGCTTATTGGGTTCTGGAATTCCCAGCATATGCGCAATACATGTACATAAACGAAATTACGTGTACAGTACCTTCCCAAAGCTGCGTCGGCTTGGCAGAATTTTCCCCACTCATTAAAACAACAAAGATGCAGCTGCTAGAACTGTGTACCATGTTGACACTAACAGCAGGTGGCTCTGGCATGGAAAAAGACCCTGTTGTTTACGGAGACCCCACAAGTATAAACACCGGCCTGCAGAGAGGAACAAAGAGAGAAGGGGAGAATCTTCAAAATGAGTTGTCACTTTTAAGCACCACCGTGGTAGTGCAGGTTAAGTTGAGCTTTCAAAGAAAACATCTGAAACTTTGTAGTTGACTGGTTTCAGAGCATTTTGAACAGGCTTTGCAAGGGCTGGCTATGTGAATAGCTGAGTAGTTATTTCTCTCAAATGAATTACTTAAATATGTAGAAAGAGGTGGTTTTTGGGAGAAAAATATTTTTTGGATAAAGTTTTAAATACTAGCCAGCCAAGTTATAATTTATATTACCACTTGCCCCACTCTGAGCCTGGTGCCTTCAAAAGAAAAGTTTGAGAGACATTCTTACAAACCTTTTTGGAAAGCATTCGGAGAAAGAAAAATATGTTTGGGGAGATCACTGAGATATTAATGCTTGGAAAAACAAGCTGGTGGTCTCAAATCCAGGGCTAACAAAGCAGATACCCCCAATCTTGGAAACCACCATCTCAAATGGAACCCTTGTAGGAACCACTTGTGTGGAGGCCAAGGAGCAGGGCTGGCATATGAGCAGGACTGCGGGTCACAACAGCCAGGCTTGTGATGGGAAAGCTGCAAGGGTGCAGAGTCGCCACCAAAGTCACGTGAGCAAAACCAGCGACCACTTTTTGACGATGGGCTGCGTTCTGCTGCGATTAGAAAGCACAGCCCACCCAAACCAAGACAGATTCGTCCGCGATAAAGTCATGGTTGATAAAGATGGAAGAGATTCTCAAGATCAAAGGGTCCACTCTTGACACCAGAGTGAAAGGTACAAGACGACTCTCAGAAAAAAACTCAGGCAAATGTTTCTACTTTCCTGTTTTTCAGTTATGACAAATGTGTAGTTTTTAGTCAGCTTGACTTATAAGTAAATGAACAGAGCAAGCACTACTTCTTTTGGATAAGCTGGTTTTCCTTTTTCATTAACATCATTATAACTGAGCATTTACTGTGTTCACACAACATGCGAGAAAACACAGAAAGATGGTTCGACTCCATCAGTCAGAAGTCTAGTATGGAAAAGCGGAAACCAGTCTAGGTCTTAACAAACAGGTAATTTAATTTTGGGAATGAGTTTAAATGATAGAAGAGCAGAGAAACCAACCAGAGGACAGTAAGACAATCCAGGGATTAGCCACAGCAGTAATCAGCTGTGACTCCTCAGATTGGTGGAGCTGGAGTGCTGCGATTCACGAGGCAGGAAGTCACCTGGCAGAAGCCAGAGTCACACTGGGGACTGTCCAGCGGGAGCTGGGACCACAGGAGACTCGGAGCCACGGTCGCGGACTGTCAGCGGGAGCTGAGACCACAGGGGCTTCGGAGCCACAGTGCCGGACTGTCAGCGGAGCTGTAAGGACCACAGAACTCAGAGCCACACTGGGGACTGTCAGGCGGGAGCTGGGACCACAGGAGACTCAGGCCACACTGGGGACATCCAGCGGGAGCTGGGACCACAGGAGACTCGGAGCCACAGTGTGGACTGTCCAGCGGGAGCTGGGACCCTGGGAGACTCGGAGCCACAGTGCGGACTGTCCAGCGGGAGCTGGGACCACAGGAGACTCAGAGCCACACTGGGGGACACATCCCAGGCGGGAGCTGGGACCACAGGAGACTCAGCCACTGGAGCTGCCAAAGGGAAACCAGGTGGAGGAGAACATGTTACCTCGGCCAGCTCCTGCTTTCAAATCTTCCACCAGTAGCCCCCATGGGCCAAACCTAGAAGCCAGAACAAGAGAGCCTAGAAATGAGAGTCCTTGTCACTTAGAGAAGATCACAATAGAGGAGAAAATGGATCTCAGCGCAAACAGGCAGTGGCCTTACGCTTATCCTACAAATTATGCACGCCATGTGATAACGTGAAGGGGTTTGACATGGGGCAGGGAGATCAGAAAGTCGAGGCTCGTTAACACCGCCACAAGCACCAACTTCCTCAATGACTGGGAAGCTCCTCACCTTCTGAGGCACAGGAGTAAAGCAGATTGCTGGGCTGCTGGAAGCGGGGAGCAGGTACATTGGCGTCTGCTCGTCTGTTCTGTTCAATGGTACCTCGTTTGCGAGGTAACGCTGGTGGTGGGGCTTTCCCTGCCTGCACAGGGGAAGAAATCCTCCCCAAAGCCTGGCTTGCCAAGATGTTAGTCTCCTCTCTATAAGGCTGGCTTGCAGGCCATGCTAGCACATTCTTCTTTGCCCAATTTCCACTTGTGCCCTTAGTATGTGGCCCCCAAGGCTGCCTCCATCAGCCTCCACACCACTTCCCCAAAGAAACAATCGGATTTGAGATGAGGTCACATCTTAGAAATACTGCAGGACCCCGTAAGTGATGCGCTGAAGAAGAGGAGAAGGAAAGGAAGACTTTGTGAAGTAGCCAGCTGCCCGAGCTGGCCTCCAGTAGCCCCTTCCTCCTAACATTTGCATCCTTCCACACTGTACCAGGTCTGTGTGCTCAAGTGAACCTGTGCGGGCGTAGCGGGCAATCGCAGTCCACTTATCCTACAAGTACGCAGGCCTGATATGCAAGGTCTGACCGGGAGGCAGAAGCGACCAGCAGAAACAGCAGAGGTAATGGCCAAGTCACTTCAGAAGTTATTTTAAAATCTGTGGTTTTCATCTGAGATGATCTTTTCTCGCTCTCTCCCCCATCGTTTACTCTGGGTCATGAGTGTCATGAAGTCACCCAGGCAGCGGGGAGGGCACCCACATGGTAAGACACAGAGACTTTTGGTCAACAGCCAGTGAGGAACCAAGGCCTGCAACAGCCGTGAGTAGGTCTGAAAGGGTTTCCAGCTCTGGCACACCCTGAGACACCTGCAGCCCCGGCCAACACTGGGCCCGGTAACCTTGCAAGATATCACAGAGCAAGAGACACCGTAAGTTGTTCCTTGGATTCCCGAGCCTCAGGAACTGTGAGAGATAATAAATGTCTGTTCTTTTAAACTGCTAAGTGTGGGGGTAATCTGTTATGCAGACAGAGTTAACACAGACTTTTCCTGAGTTTTAGCTCAAGTAAGATGGATGGTAAAGCTACTGAACAAGAAAGGAAGATCAGGATGAGTCTTGGGAGAAGGCGGAGGTGTACACCTGTTTAATTTGCTTATAAAGGGCTTTACATGAGCACATGACAGAGGACACTTGTATGGACACAGAAAGGATGTTGACCTAATCCCAAACAGTGTGGTGTCCACGAATGGGTTCAAATGTCTGAAATCCAGATCTGCCCCTCAGAAAATGTGAGAATGATGATTTGATGAAGAATGAAGCACAGATATTGTAAACATATTTGAGTCAGTTGATGCGGTGGGGTGGGGCGGGGGCTTGGGCCAACTGGATTAAAATCCACCATGTTGCCACCATCCTTTCCTTCCCAGTTCAGTATTATGCCCTCTTTAGCGATCTAGTTCTAGACATTTTGTTATAGAATTTTGTCCTGATCCCTTCTGACATGCTCTAGAAAGCTCCTTCTGCCAACCTGTAGCCAGGCCCCAGCAAGCTCTCACCTCCACCCTCCCAGTGTCTCCACAATTCTCTATTCCCACCCTCCTCTCTTTCCATGGCTGGAATTTATCTTTTTGCTAAAGTCTAACATTTTTTCTAGCTTCCTCTTGGTATCCAGAGCTATCTCTCTCAACACGTAGATCAAGTTAGCAATCTAAAGCCACACCCCGTGGATATGCCATGTCTGATACGAGGGCACAAATCCAACATGTAGACCAAGTTAGCAATCTAAAACCCACACCCCATGGATATACCCATGTCTGATACGAACTTTCGATCACGTTCTCATTGAAATCCTTTCATAAGCAGGAAAACAATCACATAAGAGGGAGGTCTTAGGGTAGGCACACCTTGAAAATGTGAATTCTCTTTGTCTGTAACTCCCAGCCTATTCTTTTCTTGACCTTTTTCTCTTTATCAGCCGCAGGCTCACTCCTCCCTTCCCAACATGCCCAAATCAAGCCCTAGGGAGTTAAGAGTCTTTATAACCAATGGCTTTTTGCTCTTTTACAAGCTGACATCCGCAGCCATGTCTGACATCACAGTGCAAACCTGAAATCAATCTACAGTTGGGTAACTACATTTTAAGTATGAAGGTTTTATCCTCTGAATAAAGCTCTACTGGTGGAATCTTGGTCATCTACCAGCAAATTTAGGATGGGTGAACATGGGGCCTTCCCAGAGTCATGAAATCATACCCACTACAGTGACTCAGACTAAAGATGGCCCCTATCACGCACACATTCAAATGAGAACTAGATGGAGGGCAGAGTCCCCGCTTACCCATCCATGTGCCTTCCCACTCCACAGAAGGCAGGAAAATCTATGTGTGTCTATAAAAATGAATGTGTAAACACAGAAATAAATGCAGCTGTGTTTGTCTGACATGCACAGCCTTGCGCCTTGGCCATGCTGCTAAAATACTCATAGGACAGACGTGCAGGCAGCAGCCTGAAATTCTCCAACGCCTGTAACGTCACTATTTCTACATCGAGTAATTCCTTCCAACATAGGACAGACGTGCGGGCAGCAGCCTGGAATTCTTCAACACCTGTAACGTCACTACTTCCATCGAGTAATTCCTTCAACATGGGACAGGCGTGAGGCAGCGGCCTGAAACTCTCAACGCCCTGTAACGTCACTATTTTCTACGTCAAGTAATTCCTTCCAACATAGGACAGGCGTGCAGCAGTCTGAGATTCTCAACACATATAACGTCACTATTTCTACATCGAGTAATTCCTTAGCATAGGACAGGCGTGCGGGCAGCAGCCTGGGAAATTCTTCAGCGCCTGTAACGTCACTACTTCTGCAGCCGAGTAATTCCTTCCAACATAGGACAGACGTGAGACGGCAGCCTGAAACTCTCCAAGCGCCTGTAACATCACTATTTTCTACATCCAGTAATTCCTTTCAACACGCAAAAGGAAAACTCTCACCAGGGTTCACCTCACATGCCCTGGGACACCCAACTGTGGAGAG